TATTTTTAAGGGAATAGATTTGTTCCCTAAGAGCCATCAGCTTACTGCTCTGAGAACAAACCCACAACTTATGTCCAGCAGCTGTCAGATACTCATTTGACATTCTATACAATAAACCGGAAACATTTTTTTACTCCTCCTGGTTTTCTAGTTTCATAAGAATTATTGTTACTTTGATGTTGTTTTTGTTCGGATTCATCACATAGTCACAAAACTTATCTTGATTCTTAGAAGAGGAAAATCAGTACAAGTAATCCTTGACTTACAACAGTTCATTAGTGACTGTTCGAAGTTACAACGGCACTAAAAATAGTGACTTATGACCATTTCTCACNAGGGAGTCAAACTATTCTCCAAGGCACCTGAGGGCAGAACAAGAAGCAATGGGTGGAAACTAATCAAGGAGAGAAGCAACTTAGAACAGAGGAGACATTTCCTGACAGTTAGAACAATTAATCAGTGGAACAGCTTGCCTCCAGAAGTTGTGAATGCCCCAACACTGAAAGTCTTTAAGAAGATGTTTGTTAGCCATTTGTCTGAAATGGTATAGGGTTTCCTGCCTAGTCAGGGGGTTGGACTAGAAGACCTCCAAGGTCCCTTCCAACTCTGCTATAGTAAATTGTAAATTGTACATGTCCTGAAGCATCATGTCTTAACCCCATCACCCTGGAGCTGGAGGTTTAATTGCCTTGTAGATAGGCTGGCCCAGTTCTGCTCAATCAGCCAAATATCTTCTGGGGGCAGGGAGCTGCAGGAAACTGCTCTTTGTCTTTAAAAACATGTTTCTACTTTTCTCATCTAGGGAAATATAATATTCTGCCTTTTTAGTATTTCCTAGAACAGGGATGGCTAACCTTTTTCCCACTGCATGCCAAAAGCAGGGGGAGCACAGGAGGGTTGTGTGCGGGCATGCCCACACCCATAATTCTATGCCCCTGCCCTCCCACCTTCGCTTTTGGCATGTGATGGACCCATTTTCTGTTCTCTCCCAGCTCCAGAGCAGTGGCAGGTTGCAGGCGGAACGGCCTGGTACAGGCATACTGATGCCTGCCAGACGCATCGGGTACCATTCCAGTCTGGTGCTCTGGAGTCCCCCCCCCCCCACTGTCCTTACCTGTATTTGAGCTCTTTGGCGCTTCCGCCCATGCGTACAGCACGTACGGAGCCTATGCGACACTCCACCGAGCAGCTGGATCATCGCCGAGGCATCGCAGAGTATCCCAGGTGACCACTGCACACGTTCATGTGGTGGATGCCAGGCCCTATTGCACCATACCGGTTGCACCGGGATCCAGAACCCACCACTGCTCCAGAGGCTTTCTAGGAGCATGGGAAGGGTGGAACCCCCCCCCCAAGAGGCCCTCTTTTGCAGTTAGTATTATTTAACAGGATGAAGCGGCAACAGAGTATGACCGCCAGGACAGTCATCTTTCCTATGTAAGTAGCTGTTTTATTGCTGTGTGTGCTGGTTTCATCCTTAATGTGGTAGTGCATGCAATTAAAGTCTTCCTTTCTGTGTCTTTGTGAAGGCCATTCATTGGAGGAAGATGGTCAGTCGGTGACATTGAAGACACACAAAAGGACAGTCATCTTCCTTTTCTATTATTTTGTGTGCTTGTTTCATGCTAATGNTTTGGAAGAGTTAGGAGTAAAAGGAAACTAGAAAGAACATGGAGGCTGGACTCCCCTTGCTGTAAGCCGCCCGGAGTCCTTCAGGATTGGGCAGCCTATAAATAAAATTAAACTTGAAACTTGAAACTCTATCAAAACTGATACCAGCCAAAATATAGAAAAATTCAAAGAAATAGTGCAAAATCAGAAGCGATTCAGAGACCTGGCCCATAGAATCGTCAAGAGTCAGACACAACTAAGTGGATAACATCATCATCATCATCATTATGAAGAAGCTACAAACTAAGTTTTGGGTTAATAACTTCATCGTTGTGAATCTTTTCAATAAAAACTGTACGTAGGAATTGTGTCATCTGTTACCAACACTAATTTGAATTTACAACATTACCCTTCTATTAGATACTGATCTCCTGAAATATTATAATTTTTTCGCAGAACTGAGCCTGACTAGGACTGATTTTCAGTTATAATATAATACAGATATAATGTTCTAAGAACTGTAATTCAATCTGCAAAGTCGTTTTAAGATCAACCAATCCAGGCTTTAGAGCAGGGGTATCAAACTCGTGGGCCGGATGCATCACATGCTGGCCCCGCCCAATTTAGCAAAGGGGGAAAAGTCCCAATACGTCACGTGATGCCGCTGTGACGATGCAAGTTTGACACTCCTGCTTTAGAAGTCCTGTTTCAAAGCCATCAGCTCTGAGTATCAGTTTTGATACTCAAAAGGCAGATCTTACTTTCAAAATAAAAGTAGCCTTCCAAAGCAAGTTCAGACATGTATCTTCCCTTCATTCTTAACAATTTATCATAGATCAAGGACTATAGAGTGTTTAATATAATTTCATACTATGTTTAATGAAAGTATATGCTGTGCGCACTGCATACACACAATTATTCTATGGCAGGATCAACCACATTCCAAGTTCAAATGGGAAAGTAGTCACAGAATCATATTTCTAAAGAGTCAGTCAGGTGAGTCAGTTTTACAAAGACTTTAATTAACAATGAGTTCTTAAAACCCACAATGATATTTCTTCCAGTTAAATATTTTTTTTGTAACACCATTGCATAAAAACTCTAATAAAAGTGTTTTAGACAAACTCTAAATATAACATGTATGGTAGTTTTCAACAAACCAGGATATGCTCAGTACCTAAATGTTGTAGATCACAAATGAACAAACGAACAGAAAGCATCATATTGAAAGAAAAAGGGAAAATGCATTTAAATCTATTGCTTATAAATTATTTTCTTTTCATTTATCTTCATTGTTGCGGGACTATTGGGACTTAATAAGAAATATTAATGACACATTTAAAATCGGACAAGTCAGATAAGGCAGGAGGAATGCTGTTAATCTGAAAATACATACATTTTCCTTTGAAATATTTCATATGGTAGTAAACCCTTTGATGTTCATGACAGCATCTAAGAGTTAAAAAGCAGAGAGTTGACATGCTTTCACTATTTTCTCTCACCCTAATTGTAAGGCCCCAGTCGTTGTAGTCACTTTAGAAGTTATTTACCGCTTCCTCCTCCTTCAGCCCGATACATAACTTAATTATGTGGAGATTTTGTGATGTGTCCTATTCAAGAGGGGGATGACACCTCTCTGAGCCAATTTTCACAATATCATTACAATAAAATTATACTTCAGTCAACCTCCAAACAATCATTCTTCACGGCAACACTAATTTAATTGTTTGTGGAAGCTCTACCAGAATGTTTAATTCATGATTTTCATCTGACAACTCTTTATTGCACAGAATGTCCTTCCTTCCTTCCCTATAACCTTAATTATTTTCAAGACAAGTGCTGATGGTGAAATATCTTCTACCAGATATGGAAATCAATGATCTGCTGCTTTAAAGATTGAAGGGTTAGATTTTAGTCAAAAGGGAACCCTTTTTGATTTAATACAAAATCAAATCAAATTTAGTTTGAGTAGGAAAAAGTCCCCATAAATAGATATTTTATTTCATATTAAAAAGTGACCTTATATATGAATTTAACTTGTAATTTAAAATTATAACTATGTCAGGCCTGCAGTTATATCCCTTTTAGGATCTTTGGNACGGGTAGTTCTCACCTTACAACCACAATGGAGCTTGCCCATTACAATCGTTAAGTTATTAGCTATATAAAGCAGGTCACATTATCAACCTGATTTTACAATCTTTTCTCTGGCAGCTGTTAAGTGAATTACTATGGTTGTTAAATGAATCCATGAATGTTAAGCAAATCCATTGTTTTCTATGAGGTGGATTTATAAAAACCTGGAAGTCATGGGCCCATCTAAGTGTGACATGTTCCTTAAAAGTTTTCCCCCAGACAGGTTTACAATCTGTGCCCTGGAACTGCATATGGCTCCTGAACCTCCAAGAAATATTGAGAATTAGGACTACTATGGTGAGATGAGAATTTAGTTCCTAATCCCTTGAAATGAAAAACCTGAAAAGATAATGTTTGTTACAACATACAACCATTCCCCACATCCAGAAAAAACGGCAGAAATCCCTGTCCTGCTTCATTTGCTGAATTCCTGAGCTTCTGAAATCCTAATACAGACTTAGTTATTCTATACTTGTGCTCAATCTACCTCTTTCGTATAGCCAGTGCAGTGAAGGATCGATCTTCATCAATGCAGAAAGATTTGAATTGTTATGAATAAAGATGATTTTATTTATTTATTTTAATTCAGAAGGATAAATAATGAACACTTAGTTTTTAAAACCATTCTCTTGACAAGTGTGACTCAGAAAACTCTTCTAGTATAATCCTACTGGAAATAAATGCTGCTGTGTTCAGTGAGACTAATTCCCAAAGAAGTGTACATGGAACTGCATCATTCAGTATTACAGCAAAGAGAGTGTAATGTGTTTTTTTTAAAAAAAATATTAAAAGAAAAGCACATGAAACTGGGGGATAAAGATCTGAAACTATTAAGATAATTTGTTTCTGTTGCAGAGTTCAGTTAAATGTTTGGAATAGTTTCCTTATTATTTGGGAGGTGGAATCAGGGAAAGATATTAACTCCTACCATGTCCATTGCAAAACTACACTAGGAGTTTCCCTAGTGTAGGGGTATCAAACTCACATCATCATAGAGGCATCATGTGACATACTGGGACTTTTTTCTCCTTCGCTAAACCGGGTGTGGATGTGGCCAGCGCATGACGCATCAACCTGGGGGCCAGGAGTTGAGAGCCCTGGCCTAGAGCTATTTCCAAGGTCTATTTATACTTTTGTTTATTGAGTTATCCTCAATAAACGGTCAAAGTTCAAAAGCTACTGTAGACTATTCCAAACACATCAGGTTGATTTGCTTTTAGAAACATGGCTTAGGTAGGAAATCATCTGCCTACCTCGCACTTCTCCACTGCTGGCTGTTGTCCACATTCAGAGCTGTTCCCTGCCACAATGCCAGCCCGGAGGCTCTCACTGTCCCCAGTCCCTTCCTCCATGGAATAAGTTTTTGAATGATTGCCTCGTCGGTGAGACATCCCCCGGCTCTGCACCAGACTGAGCTGCTTGCGTAGTGCACGGTTTTCTTCTTCCACTTCTCGCATGCGAACTTCCAAGCTTTCTCTTTCACGTTGACTTGTGGCTGTGTAATGAGGGCTGTGGGGCTGGGATTCAATTGGAGACAATGACACTGGCTTTCCATCTGCAGTGAAAACAAAACGAAACAGAAATTGTCCCAAATGGAATTAAAATGTCAAAACTCTGAAAAAACATCAAGATTATTTTTTACTCCAATCAATCCTGAGACCTCAATAAACTGTGCATATGGTTAATTTAGAAAGGATCCTTATAATGTAATGACAGTCTACAATCAAGCCAAGACTCAAAATCTTAGCTGGGCTCTACAAGCAGTCAGATGGACAGATAAAGCTTGCAAACACCCAGCATCCTCCATTTTGTGGCAAAAGTCCTAGTTGTCTAAACTTTTGGAGATGGTTTTTTCCCCCTCCAATTCAAGGGAAAAAGTTGCAGGAAAAAAAATTTCCTTGCTTGCTTCTGTTCCTCTAGTCTTCAGCCTAGAGTTAAGTAAGGTTTTTAAAAGGGATGGAGATTAGACAGCGGAGGTGGAGAATTAAGTTTTTGCACCTATTTTTTTGCCGGGGGGTGATGGTAGTGGTGGAGGAGGAGGAATTAGAATTCTATGAAAGATTTTCCTAGCACACTAAAGAAACTAATTTTGCTGTATGTCTTTCTACTTTGAATAGATCAATAATTGCATTCTTCCAATTAGGCAGTAATATTTACACACATTAAGCAAGTTGCACAGATACTTCATAAACAAACCATATTGATATATGTACATTTCTCCAGTTACTTCAATTACAGTTGCAGCCTTAACATTTTTTGACATTCCTACACCAATTCAGCTCCACTCTTAATATATTTGTATCCTTCACACACACCTCCAAAATGCGCCTTCCAAAATTCCCTTATTTAAGTTGCACCATGAATGTTTTATTACTTTTACTTTTTATCCCATTCACTGGGCTGAAGGCTTTTTGTTTAGCCATTGCACTCACTTTCAAACCATTACATGTTATTTTCCTGTTACTTTTACTATGTCTTTGATCTTTTCCACTTATACAAATATTGTTGCATTATTTGCAGCCTCTTTTACCTTGTACCATTCTTTTTTATCCAATATATCTAATATAAAGACTTGCAAATAGAAGTAGAAGGCAAAAGACAGCAAAGATAATACCAACAGTTATAGGTGTTTCGGGTGCAATCTCAAAACATCTGGAGCACCCTTTGAACATCTTCAGCACTGACAAAATCACCATTGCAAAAGGCAGCTTTACTTGAAACAGTTTACATCCTGTGTGGATACCTTTAACACCATCAAACAACATAAGCTTATCGTAGATCCTTGGGAATGATTCAATAGATAGATAAAAATGCCAAAAATCCACTCTAAACATCTAGTTGTTTGAGCAACCATAATAATGTGATTTTTGTTATTGCAAACAACCAAAATCTATAGAAGTTTTATATACATACATATTCAGTGAAGAGGGAAAGAGCAATGCTATCGGTGTATCATTTTTCTTTTAAACTTTCTGCTTTGCTCCAAAGTTACNCAATGCTGATCCGGTCTGTGAAGAAATCCAGTTTGACACTCCTGGTGGAGATGTTTTTACTTAGCTGATCTGGTTTCCATAGTTCCCCCACTTCAAATCCATGCTTGTAACTCATTAAAAATAAACATAAAGAAAAACTTGGGCAAATTTCTGATAAAAACATAGTCATTTTAAAAAGCAGTAAGAAATTTAAAATAGCGACAAATTAGAATAGGTTGGAAGCAGAGAAGCTTAAAGAATGGGTGATTACTTCCTAAAAGTGAAGTTTTCATAACCATTACTCATTTTTTTAATGGTTGGATGAGTACATCATTATTAAATTCTGTGCATGTTGACAGAAATTTAGAGGAGCCAGTCCAAAGCAACATAATTTAGCAAGAAATATATTTTACATACTGTGTAGTTTTAAACATTTTAAAAGAAGCAACCCATCTAGCTAGATTCAGGTTCACTTATCATTTCTACTATGAAGGATCAAAGGGATATTGAATCATTTTTTTACCAAAAAGAAAAAGAAAAAAGCATGTAGCGAGATAAAGATGCTTTACCTATGAAATAAGACTGATTTGACGAGAGTGACAACGTCCCGACTGGCATTGTATCCAGCACATACAATGGCGACGTGGATTGTCTAAAAAGACAGAGAGACAAACAGTGAATGCAAGGAGAGGAAAAATCATCACAATCTAGCGAAATCAATGCAGTCTGGTCAGTTTGAGGCTTTTGATGCTTAACATTCCTTGATATATTTTTAAAAGTTGTAACCTCATGGATATGAGAAGTACCGGTGACATAATTTCCCTAGACTCTTAAGCTTTGTGCTATTTTTTTTTATACTATGCAGAAAAGATTGACTACATTTTGGTACTAGCTTAGATTGAAACAAATTAAATCACCTCCATTTCAAAGGAGGCAGAGGTGTCCACAAGGCATAGTCCCAAAAAATCAAGAGGATAGCTGTGATGGTGAAATTGAAACTGTATCGGGTTTTTAATTGTGTCACCCACAGTGAAAGAAAAAATAATAATTCTTTCGGAAAAACCAGATGCCATAATCCTGCACTGAGCCATTCTACACAAGTATTTAAGGAACTAGTCAGTTCCTGGTGGTGACAGAACTGGTGACACCAGTTCCAAGGAAAAAAAAAAACAATATGCAAGATTTCCTGGGTAAATGGGCATCTCTGGCAAAGTAGTAGAGAACCAATATAGAAAAACTGGCTGCTGCAAGAATATTGTTCAACCTCAAATCTGCTCATAACTCAAGACTTTGCACTTCCTGCCTCTTCTTAATCGCCGGGGAATAAATTTCTCATTAGCATATCTCCTTTAGGACCACAGTCCTAGTTATACAGCTCTATGATCCTTCATATCTTGTTAGGATGATTTCCTTCATTTAAAGCTCAATTTGCCATTAAAAGCTAAAGGCGGCATTCAAAGAGACTATTGTTTATTTTAACTTCACAGAAGCAGACCTGTGAGGGAGATCTGTTGCTGAGACATTGTGACTAACCCCAAGCTTCAGCATTCAATGGAGGACTTGAACCTGGTACTTTCTACCTGATTGAGCTGTCAATAAAAATATCATAGTTCTTAAACTCAAAGCCTCAATGATGTGGACAGAGCGGTTTTTATTCAAAGTAATCTTCCTCAAAACCAATTCTTGGCTGTGTGTTTATTTATGCCGCAAATAAAGTGTGGACTTGCAGGAAGGTTTCTAGCCAAAATTATAGCAATATAATCCTTTTTAAATTTGACATAATTATTGAATAAATTGCTATCATTTCCTGCACCTAGCTATTAAATTTGCAATTCCAATGTATTGCCTTAGAGACAGCCCATTGAACATGCAACACCTTATTTCTGAATAAATCATCATAAGAGAGAGATATAGAAGACGAAAATGGCAATGTAAAGAAAAAAAATATTCAAAGGTCTCACTGAGCTAGCCAAAATACACCCCCCTGAAATTAGCTTTCATTTAGTATTGTTTTACCTTAGTATTGTTTTATTTCTTATTTAAATATGGAAGAAAATAATTTTACAATGAATGGAAACATGCCTTTCTAATGTTAATTACTTTACACTGGAGCAACTAAAACAGCAGACACCACAGAGTCAGATTCCAGTGTGTGGCTTTGAGAATATAAAATAATTTAATAATTAAGTAGGTATGAATAAATGTCTTCATTCAATGAGAAAAAGATATTAAGATCCCTCTTGTTTAGAAGAGGAAACCCTGAGAGAAAGCCCAAAAGACAATATCTTCTACCTTTGTATATTCCCAGCAGTGAATTTCTAAAATATTTATTCCTTATCTTTGATGTAACACTCCCGTTTCCCTACCTGAAAATAAATATGTCTCATTTGAACTATTTTCCAATATCTTCTATAGTGACAGTCAGTGCAAAGAACTAATTCAGTCTCTGCAGTCTCATAAAACTTCAGCACTTTTTCATTATTCAAAACCCTGCTTCTTCCCTACTTGAATCAGCCACTGTGGATTTTTTTAAAATATATAACCTTTTAATACTTTAAACAAGTTGACTTGTTAGATAATTTGACAAACAAAAAAAATGGAATCACGGTAATTTATCCATAAAGGTCATTGTTAAGGCAGATAGATGAATGGATAAAACATGATCATTGAAATGCTGCACTGAAAATTACCAAATTTGGTCAAATATAAGCCCCCNCTGACATATAAAATGTTTTAACTTGCGGGGGGAATCTTTCATATAACCTATTGTAGGATTATTATTTTTTTGACTGATCAAAAAAGATTCCAATGCTTAAGGACAATCTTATGGTCTATAATCTCACTAAATTCAATGGAGCATTTTCCTGAGCCAGAGCCTGTAGTGTGACTTACAATTACCGTAGTCTAATTTTCAGTAGTGGAAGCTGTTCTCTAGCATACCTTTCAATATCCATCATGTTTTACAGTGTCAGTGAACCATTCAAACCATTTATGAAATGTCCTTGTGACATTTCTTTCAACCCAGAGCTCTTCATTGGATTGTGACCTAAAGGGTCTTTGCTATTAGAAGCTTTGGACAGAATCATACAACGTATGAATGGGAAAGGGTCTTTCAGATCATCTAGTCCAGTCCTCTGCCAGTGTATATATATTCACTAAATCATCTCTGAAAGATGACTGCATATAACAGACTTTGAGATGGTTGTAGACTATTATCTTATCTCCTCATTGTCTTTTCTTGTAAAACTAAATGTATCCAGATCTTTTAACCATTCCTCAAATGCCCTGAACTGGAAATAGTATATCATGGATGCTCTAACCAGCAGAGAATAAAATGGTACGTTTACTCCTTTTCAGAGAACTTTCGTCTATTGCAGATTCTTCTATAAAGGCAACCAAAGATCACATTGGCTTTTTTAGCTGCTACATCACAACTAGTATGAATTGGTAGTTCACAAATATTTATAAATATTTCTTATACTTAATCCTGCCAAACCAGATCTTGCCAGTTCTGTACCTATGCATTTGATTCTTCCTATAGATGCAGTACCTTACATATGTCACTACTGGACTTCATCCTGTA